TAGCCCACCAGCCTTCCAAGAAAGGTTAATTTCAAGCTCTGATGTAACTAGTGGTTGAAATCAAACCTGGCCAATATTTTATGGTGGGACATAATAATACATAAATTTTAATTCCACATTCTTAAAGATGACAAAAATAACAATGACGTCATCTATGATAACTTTTATTATAATATTAGAATTTTTACTTTTTACATTTTTATTTCACTAATTACAAATTTGTTTGTGTATGTATTTTCAAAGTCAAGTTGTAGATTAAAAAAAAACTACATATTTGGGGAAATGATTAGGGAATACAAAATAAAACTTACTTTTCCTTTCCTGTCCAATGCTGTTGTCAGCAATGACATTGTTGGCAGCAGGTTTGTTATTTTTTTTCCCAAACATTGACATCATGCCTTCGAGCGATGCCATATTAGTCGTTGGAAGTCCAACTTGACCTATCTGACCAAAAGCCTTCAATTTTTCTTTCTGTTCTTGAAAGAAACGATTCTTTCTCTCCTGCTCTAGCTGTTTTCGTTGTTCTTCAGTCAAATTTTGTTCTAATATTGGCCTAGACCAGTAAAAAGCAGAGAAAAAAGGGAAGTAAGTGTACACGATCAGGCCTTGCCCCATTTAAAATTGCCTGAAACCTAGAAAGAGCTTTCCTGAACACAGCAATGTGAGTGATTAGAGAAGCTTTACTGGTAAAACCTCTTTGAAATGGTATGAATTGAGGAAGTGATAATTAGCTCTTCTGGGTCTTAACATGATTTATGATCGCATAGGATAAAAATACTGGGTATCTGTAAAACAACCACAAACCAATTTTAAACATAGAAACCGAAATGACGACTCACCTCGTAACACATACAATGAAATTACGTTTGTTTTTTTTTGTTTTTATTTCGTAATTATGCACACCCAATAAAGTGACAACCTGAATAAAAGTAAAACAAAAAGAGATTGTTACTTACATCTGATTAACTGGCATATTTTGATGCATCGTGTAAGCTGGAATCTGTTGCTGTGGATACGGATATCGTGGCATCTGAATATTACCCTGCTGTGGCACGTAGTAACCCTAGATAACCAGAATTTACAACAATTTATCTATCAGAAATAACCAACGCTTTTTAAAATAAAGTTAGCCATGTCAATTCTTAACCTTTTCACCACTAGACTTTCTCGGCCAAATTTTTTTTTTCACATTTTTCTTATATTCTTTAATATTTCTGGAAATGAGCCAACACACAAAATTTTAATCAATTTTCACCTTTTACTAAAAAATTCCAGCTATTTTTGTCCCAAACTTTGAAGGAAAGTACAGACTATAAATGAGAATATTTTGTTTATCTGTGATGAAAAGAAAAAAGGTTAAATTTTTGCTACAAAAAATATTTATACAAAAATACATAAAAGTTAGGAAAATGTTGCACTAAAAATTTGAAGAAAAAAATATGAATGTTGAACGTGGCTAACTAGTAAAAATGAGAATATTTTGAAAATACTACAATACATTGGGTGGTATTTAATATACACTGTAACCCGAGTGTTACTTCCAAGCTTGCTACCAGCTGACTTTTCAGAGATAACTTATAATTTTTTTTTTAAGTAAGTATTATTTTTATTAATAATTAATTA